GTAGTGATACTGCCTCGGAAACCCAAGGCGGGGTCACTATGGGTCGGGTCCGACTGGACGGCACATAACAACAACAACAGGCTTAAAGGGTGATACAAAGAGAGAGAGAGAGGGTAGTGCATTTTAACCCGGAAGACAGCAAGAGACTGTGGGGCAGCAGTGGCAAGATCGATAATGGTGCCAGATGATGGGAACCAGAGACTGACGGGAGACTATTGCGAGGCTTGCTGATCCTTGGAGCTAAGATTTGGAACCAAGGCTTCGAACAGGTCCTTCCAGTCAACCTTCTGCTGAGAACTTGCCTTTCCACCCCAGGTAGACTGAATCAAAATCTACGTTTTAACAGCATCCCCGAGTGGTTCTTATTGACACATAAGCTCTCATTAAAAAGTACTTTCTGATTCAGCAGATTTGAGGTAGAAATGCAAATTCTCAGCAGGGGGTCGAACAGAATGAATCAGTTTGAAGCCCTGGTTGTAACACTTGCCAGTGAAGGCCTAGAGCAGGACCCTGCAGCAGAAGGTGAGAAGAAGCTGTCCTGATCAAGAACTGTATCCTGTAACTTCTGAGTTCTTCTTGATCTTGAGTTGTACTCTGTTACTTCTCTAATAAAGCATTTAATTGTAAGTACAGTTTGTGAATTCTGCGAGACGTTGCAGCAAATTAGGGAACCCAAAGACAGGAAGCAGAGTACTGAGAGAAGGGGAAGAGTTGACGTTAGAGGTGATGGAGTGGTACAAGAATTGGAAAAGTTGGACATTTGGAACACCTTTAACCTCCACCTCATAGGGACTAGCCTTACGCTGATCCTTCTAAAAAATTATTCATTTTAACACTATTAAATGTGTGCCCTTCCTGGGAGAACCACAATTATTTCCAGACATCCATTTGCTTCTCCATGAACTCATGGGCTTCAGAGGAATTGACCACACCCCTTACTATAATCCAGGGGGTCACTGTGATTGGTCTCATGGTAATCTCCTCCCCCTGCCAGTGATTGGGTCAGTAATGAGCATGTGACTCAGTTTGGGCCAATGAGATGCAAATAAAGATGTGGGTGTGGGGGGCCTTCTGGGAAACTCTTTTCTATGCTAGGAGAACTGGAAGAGCATCCGTATCTCCTTGTGAATGAGGAACCATGGAGCCTAGACCGCTCCTGGCAGTTGTCCTATGAGTACAGGAATTGGCCTTAGAAGTAAATGATTTTGTGGATAGCAGCACAATCTCTGATTCCTCCATCACCACATACAACCACTCCATTAGCCCAGCTGAAGCCTCTGGATATCCGAATGTGAGCCTCATTGTTTAAGCAGTGAAAGGATCC